TAGCTAGGGAGGGGGCAGGGGGCCTGGCCCCTCCTGATGTACTTCTGGCCCCCCTGAAAGATTTAAATAAAAAATTGCGCCTCAAAATTGTATATCGAATGGACGTCCAATGGACCTATTTGTGCTGTCTGGACAGCTGCCATTTACACGCACTTCTTAGCTTATAGACTTAACTTGGCTGTGGTAGACTCAAAAATGTTCCATCAATATCTACATTTTTTGTACTTTAGAAGCAATTTACGAACATTTCTCAGATCCATAAAACCTTACCAAACACAAACAAATATTAAAAGACCTCAATATTGTCCCCAGAGAGTTGAAAAATCTGTCCGATAGTCGTTGGGTGTGTCGATATACGACTTGCTATGCTGTTAAAACATGTTTCGAGGGAATTGTCAATGCTTTGGAAAACGAAGTTTCTAATAAAAATTATAAACAGTCAATCACAGCAATTGGCATATTATCCAGCATTAAACAACTTTCATTCATAATTTATCTTTTTGTATTAGACGGGATACTAATATCTTAAATATGTTTTCAAACCGCCTACAGGAGAAAAATGCGACTCTGGGGAAAGCAGTTAACGTTATTAAAAGCATCATTAATTCACTAGATGAAATGATAAATGAAAAATACTATACTTGACCTTTATCTAAAAACGGACTTTGCTGAAAAATATCAAGTACCATTGGAAATTCCCTCATCTAAACGAAAAAACCAAGTCAGTAGCAAGCTCGCTGATTTCGTCACCGAAACAACTATAGGACTAGGTTTGATAGACGCCACAAGCTTTAGAGCTAATATCGGAGTAATTGAGTATTGGAGGACTCACGTCAGACATTTTTGTCTTTGTTGTTCATAGAAAAAGATGTTGATATTGAAATATGCTCGAAGGTTGATATCGACTTGAACAGTGTTGTAGTTGTAGTTAACAGCGTAGAAAACTTCTGTCGTAGATAATCAGTACTTTTATAATATTAATCGTTATGTTAAGTTAATAAATGTATGAGTTATATTGAAATATTAATACCACTAGGTATTCACTATTATAGCGTATTTTTTACCATTCATTGCACCGCAATTAAAAATTGCCCCCCCCCCCCTGAAAACTGAGGCTAACTACACCGATGACGCCATTACTAGTAGTTGCGGGTTTGCGGGTTTCTAAGATTTGGGTGTTCAAGTGGAAGTGTTCAAGTTTGAGAGAAAGGAGTTTAACTATCTAGTCACTCTGTTGGTATGAAAAATAATAGCTATCAAAATGTACTTATGGTTGAAGCTAGGCCAAATACAGTTTCTAAAAATTAAAATAATAAGTTATTGGCGCAACAGGTCAGGTTAGTGGACACATTATAGAAAAAAGTTCGGAAGAATGAAGTATATACAGTGTGTCGCATTTAAGATGAAGACACCCCTATATTTTGTCTATCTAAATAAATACAGATTTTAAGTTTTGCACAGTCATACAGGGTGATGGTTCACATTTTTTAAGATACTCAACTGAAATTTTAATTTTAAACGCGGCCTACTGCGAATCCACAATCAGAGTCAATTTTCGATATTTTTCTTCACGTTAGAGATATCAGAAAAAGTTATTTGAAAAAGTTGTTCGGAATATTATTCTAACCCCACTTACCAAATTTCATGACAAAATTCGCATTTTTAGTTTTTTCATCATTTTGTTCAATACACAAAATTATTAAAAGTTGTTTTTTTTTAACCGACTTCAAAAAAGGAGGAGGTTATCAATTCGTCGCGATATTTTTTTTTATGTATGTTCAGTGATAATTCTTTAACACGGTGTCCGATTTCAATGATTCTTTTTTTTGTTAAAAAGGGGGTACTTCAGGGGTGGTCCCATATAAATTTGGTCAAAATCTAATAATTGGGTCCATAAGAAAATCCTCAAGTTCTTAATTTTTTATGTATGTTTAGCGATAATGCTTTACCACCTTGTCCGATTAATATGATTCTTTCTTTGTTAGTAAATGACTACCTCAGGGGTGGTTCCATATAAATTTGGTAAAGATGTGGTGATGGCATCTGCACGTTTTTGAAGTCGGTTTTTTTTAATTTTTAATTTCTAATGTGCCATGGATAGGAATAGTTTGACACTTTTGTGAAGTCATTAATATCAATCAGATTAGACTTTTAGTTTATTACATTGAGTTCTATTTAGTGAAAACCGAATTAATATGCCGTTGACTGTTTGGTGATTTTGCTCGTAGTAGCAGAGAAGTTGCTGCAGAGTTTAACAGGAGACATCCGCAACGTGCTTCCATTACACATGGAAAAGCAGCCGCTATAAATGCTCTTTTCAATGAAATTGGTAGTGTTATTAAAATCCATCAGAATGGCCAACCTCGGCGAATACGCCCGCATCCTGAGGATAACGATAATACTGGCGGCATATCGAGCAATTCCACATATGAGATTTATCATCTCAGCTGAATATTACTAAGCATAAAATTAGAAGATGTTTCATCCGTCACAAAATCAAGTCTTATAAACCAAAGTTCTTACATACATTAAAAGAAGACGATGAGAATAAAAGATTAGATTATTGTTATTGGGCCCAAGGTTATTTTTAAAATAACAGGCACTTTCTGGAGAAGATTATGTTTACAGATAAGGCTACATTCACCGCCAGTGATGTTGTATCATCTCAAAATTGTAGATACTGGGCCAGAAATAATTCCCACTGGGTTATAAATTGTAAAGATCAATATTCCCAGAAAGTCAATGTCTGGTGTGACATTTTGGGAGACCAAATAATAGGTCCTTTTTTTCTTTAATAATTCAATAAATTCTGGTCGTCTAGTTAACTTTTTTTATGGGGAATTATGGGATGCTATAGAAAATCTTCCTCTCAATGTGCGACAGGATATGTATTTCCAGCTAGATGGTGCATCCATTCACAATTCGAGGATTGTTCGTCAATGGTTAAACCAAAAATTTCCTATGCGCTGGATAGGAAGAAATAGTCCTTTGGAACCCTGGCCTCCGAGGTCCCCTGATATTACATCACTCGATTTTTATTTTTGGGGAATGATAAAAATAAAGTTTATAAAACAAGGCCCAGAAATCGAGATGAACTTTGTGCCAGAAGAAGACAACTCTGTCAAGAAATCAGCATCCCAGAACTTAGACGAGTATCTATATACATAATTGTAAAAAACTGAAAAATGTATTCTAATAAATGGAGGACTAGTCGAGCGAGATAACAATAAATTATCATTTGTAATTTGAAAATTATTGTTTTAATTATTTTCTTAAATTAAATCAGTTACCTACTAAAAATTATTGGTTTCTTAAAATAAAATAATTATTCGTTTGTGTTAGTGTTATTCATTTTACTGAACAATTTAAATTACATGAATTACACTAAACTAAAAGTCTAATCTGATTGACATTAATGATTTCACAAGTGTCAAATTATTACTTTTCATGGCACACTAGTTTATCGAATAAAAAAAAATCAAAATAATGAAAAAACTAAAAATGAGAATTTTGTCATGAAATTTGGTATGTGGCGTTAGAATAATATTCGGAGCAACTTTTTCAAATAACTTTGGCTGATATCTCTAACGCGAAGAAAAATATCGAAAATTGGTACCCTTTTTGTGGATTCGCAGTAGGCCGCGTTTAAAATTTTAATTTCAGTTGAGTATCTTGAAAAATGTGAACCATCACCCTGTATGACTATGCAAAATTTAAAATCTGTATTTATTTAGACGTTTATTTAGTCAAAATATAGGGGTGTCTTCATCTTAAATGCGACACACTAAGGATAAATCATAAGCTGCTCTTTGACATCGGTAGCTGAGGGGGTGACATATTTATGTTAATACGAACTCATTAAAAAGGGGAAGTGTTATTGGTACCTAAGCTACCCACAGGTATGAAAAGTATTCAGTTATCTAATTTGGCGTTACGAGTTTAAAGGAAAGGAATATGTTCTTGTCCTAAAGAAAAATCACTTTATTACATTCACTTATACCAGCGTATGCTGCAATAAAATATGTACAATCATGTCCTACAAGTAATGACAGTGTAAAATAGGTTTCATCGAAGACAATGTGATATTTCGTAAGTAGGTAGTAATTGGAGCCCTTTTTTTTAAAGGTCGCAGGATTTTCATCATTGAGGCAAATCAAATTTCAATATCCAGTAGGTTAACGATCTGGTAGGTAGTTTTAAATCAATTTGCAGAACTTCTGTGGTAGGTACGTACTGCATTTAAAAAATATATCAGGATCCGATAACAAAGGTAGATGAATTCTTTGAAAATCCCCTAATAATTTTTTAAAATCAGACCTACGAAATATTTCAAAGTATTTTTAACCCTCAAACTGAAAACACATTTATTGAAAAATTTAAAAAACTACCATGAGGGATTCGTGTTCTACGCACACTGCTTTACCAATTTGGCTATCGGGACATTAGATGTCTGGAGTCCGAATTGTTAAATTAAATATTATATTCTAATCTAACTTAGTGATTTTGAAATAATGGAAGAAAGTACCTAGAAATAGATGTCTATAATTCGAAGGTTCTATTTTCGATACCACTGGGTTAAATGACTATCTTCCTGTTATTTGGTAGAATACCGTACAAGATTTAAAAAATATATTAATATTATTAAAGAAATCGTGTTAAATATAAAAATGTATTAAAATACTAAATTTGTTTAAAAAAATTATAATTTATTATAATTTTGTTAAGATATCGTTAATTTTAATATATTATTAAACATTTTACTCTGGAATATAGCTTAAAGATATAAAAAACGTGAATTTATTTCAATATTGAAAGTAAACACTCTCCTACGCATTTGAGTTGAGACCTTTTTGTACAAATGTAGGTCACTATGAATGAAGACTTGTAGAACTATTTCTACTGTTTTTCGATAATCAGTTTTGGATATTAAATTGTTAAAAGCCATTGTTAAATTAAAAATCAAATAAGAATTAAAATATCTAAATATATAAAAGACTCACCTCCAATATAGCTCTTTCCTGAAACGACCACCATAATTTTCCTCGTAAAATAATCTGATTAATGTGTTTTATTATTTAATTAAATCTCACATCATGTTAAAATTGTCTTGGTCATTTTAAAAGATTCGGTTGAGTTTTCAGTATACAAAAACGAATAAAAACATTGAAAGCGCACACGACGCAGAAGTTGCCTTCATTGTAATATTTTTCGAATAACACTGTCATGAAATTATCCTTCGTCCTGCAGCGCATGCATCGTCCTGTTGCCCTTACGCTTGCGTATATCCTAAAATACTCGAAAGGAGGGCTTGTCAATTTTCTTGAAAATTCAAGAGCAAATGCGACTAAAATATTTTGTAAACAAAATGAAACGATCGGCAATTTTCTTAACATCATTTTAACGCTTTTCGAAAAGTTTTCTTGCTAAAAGAATTATTTACCTTATACAATTGTCTTTTTTGATTATAGCTTATTTCTTCACTGTTGTAGCCTACCTGTTGCTCTCCCTCAGAATACTTACAACGTCAATAGATTTGACCTAGTTAAACTTCATTTGAATGGTCCTGTTGAAATATCTCAATTTTTATTTTCCAATTGCATGATATAGTCATAAATATTTTTGTTTTGTTATTAAAATATACAGAAGGCCACTTTAACTACAGAATTACATGAGCACCGACTCTGGGACGCAAGGCTTTTGGGGGGCTTTTGGGGACAAAAATAACCAAATAACCTTTTCTGAATGAAATAGAAAATAATAATATATGGATGATTTCCTGACCATAGTAAAATTTTATACAAATAAAAGTTCTTTATTGGTTGTATCGGTCGCAAGTTTTATTTTTCATTGCACAATATGTTTCGGATTTTTTTTTTATGTTCTAGTGCAGTCAATATGCTTTATATGGGGGGGGGGGGATAAAATTTACCAAAACGACATGAGAACTGTCAGAGAAGTAGTTGATCAGTGGACAGTTTATTAGTTGTACGAGACAAATAATTTGGAATTCAACAGTTCCACTGGTTCTTGGACGGTTTGCATTAACCAGAAACCAAAACAGACCTTGTGAAGAGTATAATATAGACTGTTAAGCATTAAATATCTTTATTCTAGTTTTCATCTTGGCTTTGCAAAGCCCAGGGTGGGTATGGTGGCCATTGTATAGCCAAGTAAAATTTATTCAAGAATTGCTTCACTAAAAGAGCATAATGTTTGTGCGAAGCATAAAATTTATATTTTAGGATTCACTGGCAACTCTAAGGTTTGTCCTCTCTAAAACCTAACCAAAACAATAAGGACTACTGTTGCTTTTTTAGGTTGACAAGTTTTTCGAAAAAGTCAGTAGTATAAGTTATACCATTTTTAGTTATGGATCATCTAACTAAACGATGTTATCAAGTAATATTTTCATAACTCAGGCAACTTAAAAAAATCGGAATTTTATTAAAACGGACGATGCCATAGAAGTTTTGAAGGATATTGCCGCTAGTACAAAGTTTTACAAATGCTGAAATTATTGCAAAAAATTGAATCCCCATTTTAAATTATCACGAACCGTCACTCTGATTAAGAAGAATATAAATAAGAAGAACAAGAAAACGTAATAAACGAAAGGTTAAACTTCCAGAAAGCTACAATGATTACTAATTATATATACATGGTTTTTGATGCGATATCTGTGTAGATGAATTAAATGATAGAAGTAAAAAAGTATGTGGATAGAAGCAATAATGCATCAATAAATAAACCAAAAATCTGATGTGTCCAACACATGACTTTCCTATTTAGTTATTATAGGCTTTTTACAGTTATTTTGTACAACCGTTGTAGCACCTCTATAAATGTTTAGAGGATATACTAAATATATACATTTTCCATTTTATATACTCAAGTTGGAACCATATAGAAAACATTTTTATTATTGATTTTAGGAAAAAAAGTTATTCTTGATAAAAAGTCCTGCATGACCCAAAACCTAAAATACAGTCATCACATATCAAATTTTTCAAGCCGTATACGAGGTTTGTCAAAAAATATGAATTTTGCTCAAGATTAAAGTACGTTTATTTTTGACAAAATCGAAAATTTTCATTAAGAAACGTTGATTAGAATTGAATATTACATTCAAATATGCAATTACACCGATCTATCTGAAAAAACAGATTTTGTTATTTTTTATAAACTCTTACACTCTACACATTGATTGTAAATATCTGAAAACGTTATAAATTACGTTAGCTACTATAAACATGATACGCTTTCCTTTTGTTGATGTTTGTGAAGAATTTAGCAAATTTCTTAATGAAAATTTTCGATTTTGTACAAAAATAAACGTACTTTACTCTTGAGCAAAATTCATATTTTTTGACAAACCTCGTATACAGCTTGAAAAATTTGATATCTGATGACTGTATTTTAAGTTTTGGGTCATGCAGGACTTTTTATCAAGAATAACTTTTTTTCCTAAAATCAATAATAAAATTGTTTTCCATATGGTTCCAACTTAAGTAGACACACTGTATATTCATTGCCAACGAAAATACTGAAAAATTAAAATTTTACACTTTTTCTCCAATTTTTCCATTACGGTCCTTTTTAGAGAAATCATGTATATATCAAAAATTATAGAGATCGATATCGCAAACAACTTTTCTTAAACAAAATTTTGAACATTTTGTCAAATTTCTCGAATACGGACCATTTTAGGAAAATTTTGTATGTAATAAAAATTATAGAGAATATTATTAGAAGCAACTTTTATTTGAAGAATTTTCTTCTCCAAACGCAAATAACAGATATATTCCATAAAATATAAAAATGACTTTCAATAAAGTACCCCCCAGATGTTCCGACTCTGCTCAAAATCTAATCAGTTCACCGCAGGTCGGAATAAAGCTTAAATACAAATTTTCACGTCTTTTCATTCACTTTAAAAATGTTCAACACTCATATTACTCATTAGTGTTGCCTTCGTTATAAAAACATTATACCTTCCAAATTTGTTAAACGGTTTAGGAGTCTGATCAATCAGTGAGGACACTATAATATATAGACATTTAATTAATTTTAATTCTTGTAAATATTAATAAAACTAATTATTTTTGTGTAACGCCACTGGTTTAATACAATTCAGTAAGGTGGCCTGGTTCTGTAAATGCCGCATTTCTGATGTGATAACATAAAAAATAGAGTCAAACAAAGTTAATAAACTAATATCAAAAGTTAATATTTTGTTCTTGAACTATTATTGTTTCATTTAAATGATTAAGTATTATTATTATTTACGGGAAATAACTACAATAAAAATAATTTAGTTATATTAAACGTTTAAACTACACATAAAAATTAGAAAATTCACAACTTTTCTGTTAATATCAATGACAGAATTGTTTGGCTCACTAAATGTTACAGTAATGCGGCGATTCGTTTTGCATGCATTTGATCACTTTTTTTGTTGGGTATAATATTTTCTATTTTAATAAAAGTATTTCGAACCACCACTGTCCATTGAAAAATATTACCATCATCGTCCAACAATAAATCTACATCCATCGAGTCATCTGGGAGGTGAAATATTTTTCCAAATGTTAATTAGTTAATTAAATTAGGAATTTATTGTCAATTATTTAGCTTGGGGGTTACGAATTCATCCCTGACAACCACGAATAGGTAGTGGTAACCAGAATACAAACACAAGTCCATTCTAACATTGTTCATCGAACGTAAAAGTTATATTGGTTGCCTATAAGTGGGGTGACGTAATCTTGCCGAAGGCTGATACTGATTACCAAATTCATGCCTGAAATGTTGTAATAATTATTTATATTTGAGTGTAATTCTTTCAGCTGACCGCCAGTTCGCGTCCGCTTTCATGTAATATATGTTGTTTTTGTTTTCATGAATGGACCGGAAACATGGGCCCGCGAAAATATTATCATCATGTGGAAAGAGACCCTGAAAACATTAAGTCGATATGGAAAGGTAATATTTTCTCTTGTATTGATCGATTTCGATTAAAATTCTTATTTATTTTTGATAGTTTCGTCTTTCTTTTCAACAAATAAATTTATTATGAGTTCATGGTTAAATTTTAATTCAACATTCGTTTAATTTTGGAGAATAGGCTAAGTCATTTGTTTTTGTAGCTTTAATTTTTTTTTAATACTCAAAATTAGAATTTGTAGGTATTTAGAAGACTTTAATGCATAGCACCTACCTAACCTACTGTCAAAGATGGCTTTATAAACAATTTTTGAATTCGAAATTTTTATTTGGAACATTTCTGTGTCATTCGCCACACAAACTAGGTAAGTAGGTAGGTAGGTAGGTGCCTATACATTCCTATTTAAAATTAAAACTGATCTGGTAAAAATTAATTCTTATTTCTGAAAAAAATAGTAATTTACGTTACAAGACTGGAAAGTAGTTTTGCAGCCATATTCCAGGACGAGGAATCCTGGAAGCAAGGAGCGCATAATGGGGTAATTACCCCCTCAAGAATTTTTAAACCTATCTTTTATAAGAACTAAAATGTTTTCTTATCAAAAAAAGTCTTAAATATTACCACTACCACCCCAGACTTAAACTTTATTAGTACTACCCCCAGACTTAAACTCTGGATGCGCCACTGCTGGAAGCTGAGAGAGACCTGCTAAACACTGATTTTCGGTCGCGTAGTAACGTACAATATTTTTTTAAGACCACTTTGATGTAAACCGTTTATGGTGGGTAGATATGCGGTGGCCTCAATTACAAACATTTCCTATAAAGCTGCAAATCTCTTTGGGAATCTTTTCTTACTAATATATAAATGCAAAAGTTTGGTTAATGGATGTTTGTTGCTCAATCACGCAAGAACGCTGAACGAATCTGGATGAAATTTGGCACAAAGATAGATTATAGTCTGGAATAGCACATAGGCTTTTTATCCCGGAAAAATATACTGTTCCCCTGAGATAAATTTGTTTTTGACAGACATGATTTTTTGCATAGTGGTAGTGAAACCTTAGATAATATATGTAACATAAAGGCTACCCCTGTATAAATCTATACAATGTCGATGTCGCTCTAATAAAATCATTGTTTCTTTTTCTAATGCAGGCTTTCTCGCTCATATTAGAATCTTCAGCAGTAGCGTACTTAAACGGATTGCATTGGCTTATTTTAAATGTGAAAATAGTGACTGCAAATAGATTAAAAAAATACAAAATAATGGTTTAAAAGATAGGTACGTTTTTATTAAACTGAAAACAAAATATGACATTATTGTCATGTAAAAAAATATAATAAATATTTTATTGCTCCTAAAATATTTAGAATTACAGCAAGAATTTGGAATTCTATAAAATATCTATACCTGTTGGAAAGCTATACAATTGTAGAACTGAAAAAATACATAAAGCATTTAATTTAAACATGACAAAATATTCCTAATAAGAATAAAACAAACCAATATATATTTACCTATTTAGCATAAGTAGAAGTATTACAGGATATTAAAAAAATATATAGGAATTTAATTTACTTTTCTAATTATTTCGTTTAAAATATAAATTATCCAGTTACTTTATTTAAATTAGGTAGTGATATTGCACATACTTTTTCACTCATCTTAATTGTGTTTGTAATGTTTTATTTCTGTTTTGTAAGTTTGAAGCAGTACTGTTGGCAACAAAAGTCTTTGTAATGACCGATTTTCTAGAAACTTCAATGTAAAGTTACCAAAATATCTAGGTTTTCTGAAATAGGTATTCATATACAATTTAATGTATCGGCTTAGATCAAATCCAATGTTCGATTTACTTCTTAATTAATGGTGACTCAAATTTTGTTGATGAGAATTTCAGAGTCATACCTTGAACTTAATATTGAAGTGTATGAGGTACTTTTGTTCAAACTATAACTTCTTTGATTTGTTGGCAAGTTTAATACTCTTAAAGAAGGCCCATAATCAAATAATTTAGTATCCGAAGAAATTACTATACTAAAAACATTCAAACATATTATTGGTTCGCCAAATTTATTAAAAACAATACCTTCTATTTTTGTTTTTAGGTGACACAGCTTCACCACTACTCTTTTTTTCCTACTTTGTTTGTGTAATACAAACTTATAAATATATTTGTTGCGGCAAAGTCGTCCTCTAAAAAGTGCATTGAACAAATGTAATATATTCCTTCAACTTCTAATATTTCAGTCCATTCAAGTGCGTCTAACCATAATTTTCTTCTAATTCGTATTTTAGAACACTAATAATAATTTTATTCTTTTTAATATGCATAGGTATTTTATTTTTCTTTTTTCTCCTAAAACGACGCCCATGTTCTTCGGTAAGAAATAATATTAACGAGTGAAATGTAACCTCACTTCCTCTTTTATATTTAAAATCACATAAAACACAAGTCTTTTCCTAGTATAAAATAAACCCTACAAATCAAAGTCACTTTTAACACCACCATACTTGAACGAATTTAAGTAAAAATAACTGGAAAAATAAATATAGAGATATTAATCTATTTCTCTCTAATTAGAATCTTTCATGCGATATCAAGGCGACAAAAATAGCTATTTGTATTACTAGAGAGGAAAGTGCCACTTTTCCTCCCGCAGGATGAAGTTTACTGCACGACGCGAAGCGGAGGGCAGTAAACATCCAAGGGAGGAAAAGGCACTTTACTCCCAAGTAATGCATATGATTTTTCCGCCTCCCTCAAATAACAAGTCATTTTTAAATAATTTATTTATGAAACTAATAAACAAAATTTATTAAAGAACTAAAATTATGAAGTAGGTATAGTATAAATTATAGGCATGTTATTTTCATTCTTGCATCCTACATATTTTTAATTTGTGGTAGAGTAATTATTTTTCTGAGTAAGTACGAATATGCTTTTCTTCGGCCCATTGCTTGAAACGTAAATACTGTTTTTCGTATTTTTCTTTAGATTTTTGGGGTAATAGAGATTGAACTGTTGCATTAACCTGTCCAAAATATCCGGTGGTGTATTATTTATATCTTTAAATTCGCTTGAATCACTCATTTTTTAAATATTATTTTATATTTTGTAGATATATTATAGCGTAACACACTTTAAAACTGATCTGTCAATCGACCATAGCATGCTATAATATTTCTGTCCTAAATTCGAAAATCGGATGAATCTATGAATTGAAGTCAAACTCTTAATGTAAAAATCGTTAAATTAAAATAACAATTTACTGATTTTTACTATTTTGCAAAATACAGGGTGTTCTATAAATAAACGGTAAAATTCATACTTATATAATAGAATATAGTTTAGGTCGTCAATACCGTATAAGCTATTTCATTTATGACATACCATGACGTCACTTTTACTTTTCCTCCCTAGGGAGTAAAAGTACTTTTCCTTCCTAGGGAGGAAAAGTATGACTTTGCTCCCTGCAATGAGGTCAGGAAATGTATACTTTGGATAGAGGTAGGCGGAAAAATTGTTTACTGTCCTCTCTGTACTACTCTGAGAGTGAATCATGAAAATTTGAAATACAGTTACTGATCATAAATAAATAATGACGTGTTTCAGGGTTTTTGGATTTTCACATTTTAAGAGGGGAAACGGGATAGGAACTTGAAAATTGTAATTATAGCCATTACAGCTACTCATTTTTGATTTTCATATTTTAAGGGGGACACGGGAGAAGGGAAAGAAATGGAAGAAATGGGAGAAAGGGAAGACAGGAGGGGAAGTTTGTATGAAGATAACGCTTTTTTAAACGTAGAAAATTAAAAATAAGAATTTTAACTACTTATTATAAATGAATAGACACTAGGGAGGAAACGGGAGGTGAAAGTTTGTATGAGACTTTCGGTTTTTTTAAGGTACGAACTTGAAAATTGGAATTGTAGCTACTCATTATTGGTAAATAATGACGTATTTCAAGGTTTTTGAATTTTCACATTTCACAAAAAGGGGAAAATGGGGAGTATCGTAAAACTAAATAATAAATAAAAATAAATAAAAAAAAAATAAAAATAAATAAAAATAAATAAAAATAAATAAAAATAAATAAAAATAAATAAAAATAAATAAAAATAAATAAAAATAAATAAAAATAAATAAAAATAAATAAAAATAAATAAAAATAAATAAAAATAAATAAAAATAAATAAAAATAAATAAAAATAAATAAAAATAAATAAAAATAAATAAAAATAAATAAAAATAAATAAAAATAAATAAAAATAAATAAAAATAAATAAAAATAAATAAAAATAAATAAAAATAAATAAAAATAAATAAAAATAAATAAAAATAAATAAAAATAAATAAAAATAAATAAAAATAAATAAAAATAAATAAAAATAAATAAAAATAAATAAAAATAAATAAAAATAAATAAAAATAAATAAAAATAAATAAAAATAAATAAAAATAAATAAAAATAAATAAAAATAAATAAAAATAAATAAAAATAAATAAAAATAAATAAAAATAAATAAAAATAAATAAAAATAAATAAAAATAAATAAAAATAAATAAAAATAAATAAAAATAAATAAAAATAAATAAAAATAAATAAAAATAAATAAAAATAAATAAAAATAAATAAAAATAAATAAAAATAAATAAAAATAAAAATAAATAAAAATAAATAAAAATAAATAAAAATAAATAAAAATAAATAAAAATAAACAAAAATAAATAAAAATAAACAAAAATAAATAAAAATAAACAAAAATAAACAATAATAAATAAAAATAAATAAAAATAAATAAAAATAAATAAAAATAAATAAAAATGAATAAAAATAAATAAAAATTAAAAAATACAAATTAAAAAATAATAAAAAATTAATAATAAAAATTAATAATAAAAATTAATAAAAAATATTATTAAAAATTATTAAAAATTAATAAAAATTAATAAAAATTAATAAAAATTAATAAAAATTAATAAAAATTAATAAAAATTAATAAAAATTAATAAAAATTAATAAAAATT